TGGCACGACCATCGTGCATGCCTAAACAAAATCGAGACTCGTCACTAAAGACAATACTGTTCCACTCCTGATCCCAGAGTGACCGTTGTCTGCACCACTCAAGGCGATTACGTCGGTGTTCTCGAGTTAAAGGGAGGACCCAGTGTGGCCGGTATGAAAACAAGCCAAAACTTCTCATTCGTCGGTAAACACTTTGCATGCCAATAGAATAGGTCTTCCGTGTTCTGCAAACCATTCATTTGCAATGGATCTGGTAGTGGAGAAACGGTCCCTTAAGGCCAATAATCTTAGGCGGCGATCTTCAGGGTTTGTTGTTCTACGGCGGCGTCCAGTGCCCCTTGCTCTTTGCATACGGCCACAATGTCTACACTTCTTTGCACTCTAACTGCAATTGCCCGAAAAGAAAGTCCAGCTTCCCGAAGTCCCACTGTACGGCCCCTATCAAACTCACTAAGTTGACGAAATCGTACAGGTCTCCGTACTCTAGGCATCGTAACCGATCGTAAAGGATGTCAAGAACCATAATCCGCCAACGTTGATTCTTTACTGCGGCTGAAATATTCATTCTTAGAGCGTTAGAGAATTAAAAAAAAAGCAGTATAAAAACCGGAATGTCCAACTGATAAGGGTGAAAATTTGTTCACTTGTTATTAACAGTAAGATAAATACATTCACCAACTTTTATTAAAATAAAACCATTTAAACTGGGAGTTCGGATTTATATGTCACTTAGTATATTTACTTACCTAAAATCAATAATTAGTCGATGGCAGCACGAACCTAACACTGTCGTAAGCCAAACACTGACTGCGAAAATCTGACGTAAGTCGCAGAAACCGACCTGGACTTACGTTATTATGGCGGTAAAAAACGTTAGCTTGCATTACTACGATGGAAATAGTGTTAAAGTTACGTTTCTTTTACGGATATGATTTAAAAAATTCTGGACATACGTTTTCAAAAAAAGTTAAAAACAAGGGTTTAAGGTAAAATCTAGGCTTCCTACACTTTGGCAGTACCTTCTCAACAATAAAAGCCTTACGTTAAAGGAAAAACATGATTTTCACCAAAAATGTCAATTACGTTACTTTGGCAAAAATGCATCGATATATCCTGAACGTGGTATATCTGAAAGTTTGTTACTGTCTAGGTTTCAAGTGCAGGCTTTAGAACTGAGAAGGAAGTGTGCATCAATTATGTTCTTGCATAAACTACTGCACAATCAAATTGATGCTAATGAGATTGTGGCTCAAATAAACTTTAATGTTCCATCTATTCAAACTCGTACAGCTAAAATATTTTATTGCGACAGGGCTCGCACAAATTTGTTTTTGAAGGCATCCATATACAGGGTGTCCCAGAAGTCGACGTCAAGCCGAAACCGGGTGATAGGCAAAGTCATCAGCTATCAGAAAAATATTTAAAAAAATTTTATGTATGTGTTTTGAAAATTATAGGTCTTTGAAAAAGATATAGAAATTTCACACCCTAGGGCAGTCTGTCAACTCCTGTTACTACAAATATTAACTTTTTTTGGATTTTATTTTTACAATGTAATGATGAATAATGCATCTTCAAACTGGTGTCTCAACCTTACTGCCAACTTTTCTCGTTCAGGAAAAATTGCCACTTATTTCCCAACCAAGTATTCCAAAGTAAAACTTTGTTCAACTTTAACTGGCTGTACTGGAAAAAATGTACTACGAGAGTTTGGCAAGTAACCTTAAAAGTTGGCGCATTTAATAACGATTCCAAAATGGTATAACAGTTAGAAGATTACTCGTTAACTTATGCACAATTTTTATTTGAAAAAAAACTGATGAAAATTTTTCAAAATTTCCTAATTAAACAGCGATTATGAAAACGCACAAGGACCCTTAAGGATAACTGTTTGCACAACAGTGGACATCAAAATGCTGCTGATGATGATTTACCTTTACAGCAAATGCTCAAACTGTTTTCCCTCAGCCGCAATACACGCTCGACATCTTCTTAAAAAAGATCGGGTTATTAAACGAGCGAATCCACGGTTATTAACAAACTCAGCTGCTTCCAATAGTCTTTGCCGTAGCTCAGCTACATTTTGAATCGACTTGAAATACACTTTTTCTTTTACAGTTCCCCCGTAAAAAAAATCTAACGGATTCAAATCTGGCGATCGGGCTGGCCACGGTATTGTACCAGACCGCCCTATCCATCTGCCTGGAAAGTTTTGATCGAGATGCTCTCTCACTGAGAGTGCATAGTGCGCTGGGCAGCCATCATGCTGATTCCACATGTCCCTGTAAATACTCAGTGGCACGTCGTCCAATAAATTTTCTAAATAATTTTGCAAAAAACCTAAATAAATCCCAGCAGTCAAAGTCTCTGGGAACTCAAACGGACCGATTATTTTACCATTTAAAATTCCTGTCCAATGGTTTATCTTAAAGCGATATTGAGATTTATCTTCTCTCATCAAATTTGGGTTTGCTACTTGCCACTCGTGTAAGTTATGCAGGTTCATGTACCCATCTTTCTTAAATGTGGTCTCATCTGACCATAAAATTTTTTCAAAGAACCGTGGATCTTCCCTGTGTCTTTCTAACATTGTGCGACAAAAAGCAACTCGGGGCTCATAATCCCGGGGCAGAAGAGCTTGAACACGCTGTACGTGGTATGGATGGAGCACGTTTTTCTTCAAGATTCTATGGGCTGTACTTTTGGGCACACCTGTTTTTAGTTCTATTGCACGCACTGAAGTACTCGGGTCTTCTTCGACAGCTCCTAGCACCACGTCTCCGTAAGGAAGGAAATATCTTCCCTCACCGTGTGATTGGTTTGGTAGTTGGCCTTCTGAGAACAGTAAGCGGTGCACATTTGTGAACACTCGATGATCTGGATGACGAGCTGCATTCGGGTACCTCTCACAGTAAAGTCTCGCTGCAGCACTAGCGTTGCATCTGCATTCCCCATAAATGAGGTGCATGTTAGCATATTCTTGTACGGTGTACAAGGACATAGCGGCACTGCACAATCACATTATCAAAGATAGTCTAAGGAAAGCAAATGTTGTTTTGAAGAGCAATTAAACAGTCCAAATCCAAATCACAAGCGATCAACAGTCCAGTTCACGAATCCAAAATTAGTAACAGCACGAAATCAACAAGCACGAACATGTAAAGATGCGCAGTAAACGAAGGAGTACTGATCGGTATCAAAGTGTGCAATAGCAAGTAAGTCATGTGCTTCATCCAAACCACATACAGCGTGTTCAACCTTTCCTGCCCCGGGATTATGAGCCCCGAGTTGCTTTTTGTCGTACAATGTTAGAAAGACACAGGAAAGATCCACAGTTATTTGAAAAAATTTTATGGTCGGATGAGACCACATTTAAGAAAGATGGGTACATGAACCTGCATAACTTACACGAGTGGCACGTAGCAAACCCACATTTGATGAGAGAAGATAAATCTCAATATCGCTTCAAGATAAACCATTGGAAACGAATTTTAAATGGTAAAATAATCGGTCCGTTTGAGTTCCCAGAAACTTTGACTGCTGAAGTTTATTTGGATTTTTTGAAAAATCATGTACAAAATTTATTGGTGGACGTGCCGCTGAGTATTTACAGGGACATGTGGTTTCAGCATGATGGCTGCCCAGCGCACTATGCACTCTCAGTGAGAGAGTATCTCGATCAAAACTTTCCAGGCAGATGGATAAGGCGGTCTGGTACAATATCTACCGTGGCCAGCCCGATCACCTGATTTGAATCCTTTAGATTTTTTTACTGGGGAACGGTAAACGAAAAAGTGTGTTTCAAGCCGATTTAAAATGTAGCTGAGCTACAGCAAAGACTATTGGTAGCAGCTGAGTTTGTTAATAACCGTGGATTCGCTCGTTTAATAACCCGATCTTTTTTAAGAAGATGTCGAGCGTGTATTGCGGCTGAAGGAAAACAGTTTGAGCATTTGCTGTAAAGGTAAATCATCATCAGCAGCATTTTGACGCCCACTGTTGTGCAAACAGTTATCCTTAAGGGTCCTTGTGCGTTTTCATAATCGCTGTTTAATTAGGAAATTTTGAAAAAGTTTTCATCAGTTTTTTTTCAAATAAAAATTGTGCATAAGTTAACGAGTAATCTTTTAAGTGTTATACCATTTTGGAATCGTTATTAAATGCGCCAACTTTTAAGGTTACTTGCCAAACTCTCGTAGTACATTTTTTTCCAGTACAGCCAGTTAAAGTTGAGCAAAGTTTTACTTTAGAATACTTGGTTGGGAAATAAGTGGCAATTTTTCCTGAACGAGAAAAGTTGGCAGTAAGGTTGAGACACCAGTTGAAGATGCATTATTCATCATTACATTGTGAAAATAAAATCCAAAAAAAGTTAATATTTGTAGTAACAGGAGTTGACAGACTGCCGTAGGGTGTGAAATTTCTATATCTTTTTCAAAGAGCTATAATTTTCAAAACACATACATAAAATTTTTTTAAATATTTTTCTGATAGCTGTTATGACTTTGCCTATCACCCGGTTTCGGCTTGACGTCGACTTCTGGGACACCCTGTATGTGATGTGTGAAACTTTCAATCCAATATCAAGTTATTATGATATACATGCTGACAGTTTGAACAGCATTCTGGGAGTAGCTAGAAATTGCTTGGATAATTTATGATATGTTACTCACCTGAGTAAAATATGTTTTTTGCTTCTTTTTCTTGCTTGTTTTTTTTAGATGTTTTCTGTTCTTGTTATTTTGATTTAACTTAGGATTGTCCTGTAAATGGTTTCCTTAACTGTTAGGCAATAAATTATTTATTATTCGGGAGGAAACATTCAGGCATAAGACTGTCATTGATTCATCTTTCAGTTTGGCGGATCATTGATGTAGATAAAAAAAATGGATCTACAGTTCTTAGTTTTAGAATGTTCGACCCGCGTGCCACCACAAACTTATCTACGATCCCCGGTAAAGCCAAGTCGCGCGCGCAAGAGAAAGTCAATGCAGTTCAAGAACCAAACCAAAGAACCATCAACATTGCCGGCACTCTGATATGAACCGTTTAGAATAAACCGAACCAGCGCGCGGTCACAATGGTCTTTGCGAAAAACGAAAACGAAACGTGCTTCAAGGGGGTTTAGATCAGAACATGCTGGTGGCTAGATGCGCGGTGTTGCTGGTGCTATGGGCGCTGGCGGGTACGGGAAGCGCGCAGATCCTGCGGAACCCCAGGTTCAGGAGGTTCCCTATGAAAGCCGCTTTGGGGTTGAAAGAGAGGCTGAAACAGCGGTTCGAGAAGTACAGGGAGAGGAATACGCAGCAGATATGTTATGGTAAGATCGTTAGATAGTAGCTTTATTGTACAACAGTGGCCCACTAACAGGACAATATTATACAAAATCCATACAAAAGATACAGAACAAGCTATATAACAAAACAAAAATATCTCACGTATATCCTTGGCCTAGGTATGTATTAGCTATCCTAACTAATCCTTTGTTAGAAGTACAGATTCTATTGAAATTTTTAAACATATTATTTAGCGGCGACAGTGAAATATTTGTTCTTGCCCTTGTAGCTCTGAACGTGAAGTGAGTACGCGACGCACTGATGTTGATCTTTCCAAGAAGTGAAGGACTGTCAATTAGATTATTTAAAAGATTAAACAAAAATATCAATGTCGCGCAAGTTATACGCTGCTCCAGAGATATAAGGTCAACACGACTGTATAACTCGGTATTGGTAACACCCCTTTCTGGGTAAATTCCATCAATTTTATGAACTAAGAACTTCGAAAATCTTCTCTGTACTTTCTTCAAACAACTCTTTTGGCACTCATAAAAGGGATTCCAAACTATGCAAGCATAGGGGTGGCCGGGGCTAATTGTCACAATTTTCAGTAATTCTTTTTTTTATTCGACCTGAAGCGTTATATGCACATAATTGGTGCATAACTAATATGGTTTATCCTTTGGGAACACTATCTAAATTGATAAGGCTGTAAAATAATTCATAATATTAAATTAAAATGTTTCAAAATACAGAAACAAATGTGCCCCTTGCTGGGGCTGGATGTCACATTGCTTGGGGTTGGTTGTCACGCGTATTTTAGATCATTAATAAATTATGATATCATACTTTTAAACATATTTATTATTACAAAAATGCTTATTAAACACCAAATCTTTATAAGAGAAAAGTAGAAGAGTTTTTTTACAATTAGTCACTATCGCAGTTATGACATATGTAAAGTCGCGTTCATCAGTGCACGCATCATGAGACCAACCATTACACGATGAGCATTTCACCCATTCTTCATTTGTCGGGCTGTTAGAAAATGGTTCAAGACAAATCAAGCAAAAACATTCTTCTCCATCAGTTTCATTATCTGAACAGGACTAGCGTTTTTCAATTTTTTTAGATTTCTTCGTTTTTTTCTGCATCAAAAACGTCTCTTTTCACTGTTTCCCTGTTCCTCTTTTCCTTGTTCCAGTATTTATTTATCTCTTTCTCTTCGTCTTTTACTGGAGTGTCAGTGAGTATTGCACTCCCTCGTTTACGACGGGAAACTCGATTCATTTTTCTTGCCGATGCCTTTGGATAAGGTCTTAAACTTTCTGGAAGTACTATATTTCCCATATGCAGCAGGGATCATCAAAACTAGTTAGCTATATTAGCTGTTTTGCTCTTTCGTATATTATCTATTGCTTGTTAATATTTATCAGACCTACAGTTTCATCTTCATTCAAGATGGTTGGATTTGGACCAACTTCCTTTTCGTTGAAGGTTTCCGGGTTTGATCCAGTTATTGCTTCGTTCAAGATACCCGGATCTGGCCTATCAGTGACAGAGCTCGCAAGAAAGTCATCATCCGTGAAAATATCTCTGTTGTAAGGAAACACACCAGATACCCGAAACCCAGACTGTATATTTTTGGGAGTAAAAGCGAGGGGGTATGCAATAGAGACCACTGAAGGTATGTCGTATATAGTGATGATCTTACCGGGATTATTTAAAACCCAAGCATCGCAGGAAGTATTTACATATGTCTTAAAAGGGCCGAAAACGGCGCAGTCAAGAGGTTGAAGTTTATGTGAACAGTGAGGGTAAAACGAAAGCATGACTATACCATTCGCTTTGGCAAAATTCAGTCCTTCTATACTCAGATGTAATCCATGGTTATCTAGTAAAAGCAGGCACGGTCTTTCCACAGTACTTTTCACATGAAGGTGAAAAAATCTAAGAAACTACAAGAAATGTGACTCCAACCTGAAGGGTTTGCAGAACCTTGTGAGCCAGGAGGAGCCGAATTTAACAAGTGTGGTTTGAAATGTACCCGTGGAAAAATTAAAAAAGGAGGTATGGAATTTCCAATAGCTGATACTGCACTTGCTAAAGTGATGAAACTATCGAACCAACCTGTTTGAATCCTCTTCTGGCAACAATGCGGTCGGGTCTTTAGACAGTTGTAATCCTAGTTTCGTCCATGTTCCAGATTTCGTGAGGCTCAAATTTATGTTTTTCCATAACTGAACCTAAATTATCAAAAAATGCGTTGACGTTCGTTTTATTGAAACTACTGGCTCTTGCTAAACTAGTTGCTTCTGGTTTGCGAATAGACAGTACAGGATGACGTTTTTGGAAACGCACTAAACCAGTCAGGACCAGCTATTTTATGGAGCTTCCAATTTTCAGGCATTTTCAAGGAATTAGTATTAGCAAATGCATATGCCAGTCCACGTACTCCCTTGGGTGATAATCCAAAATAAATATCAGATGCGTTGAGTACATATTCCACTAGATGATTTTCAAGTTCAGGCTCAAATACTAAATGATTTTTGATGTAGCCAACTGAAATTGACGGCGCAACAACTCGATCATCAAGTAACTCTGGAATTTTCTTACAGTACCTTGCTAAAGTATGGTAATTTACATTGAAGTCAGCTGCCGCTTTTCTTATTGAGGATCCTAATCTCACTAATCTAGCAGCTCTTAAAAGTACGTCAGGCAACGCTTTGCCGTTCTCAGTCTTCCTTTTGAAATTTCGAACCATGCTTATGTAACCTGAAAATATCAAAAAAATACATTATATACATATACCTACGTAGAATGATGTGCAAAGCTAATCGTCTAGTGTGGGGGCTGGTTGTCCCATGTGACAAGAGGCCCCCGCTAATTTGAGACAACCTGCCCCACTATATAATTAATTTTTAAGGTTAGATAGCGTCACTAAATTAACAAATTCAAAGTGAATACTCACTTTAAGTCGTATTCGGATTATTGAAGAGCAAAATAAATGCAACAGTTCTTTTTATTATCAAATGTAGTCTTGAAAACACACAAATTATGCGGCAAACGAAAAATTTAGTCAGGTTAGGCGATTTGTTTATTTTTGTGTGTGCGACCTTAATCTACCAACGACAACTTTCGTACTGAATACAAGTGTTCTGCCCGGACGCATTTTAACACTATGGTATAGGGTTCGGCACCAGCCTTAATTTTATTTGTCAATTTCAATTTATTCAACCAATGACAAGCCGGGTGCCGAAATCATTACCGGAATGTTAAACAGTGCTGAAAACAGTGTCAGAATGTTATCAATTTAAATTGCCTCTACTAATATATCGAGTGCTGAAATCACTACCCGAATGTTGAGGATTACCGAAATACAGTTCGGAATTTCGAAGGTCGCCGATGCGTAAGGAAGTTCTTTATCGTTTACGCAGTTTACGTTAGATATTATAACCTCAAAGTTCAAGCGTCATCATTTTAATACGTTTCGAGTTGAGCAGAACAATGGAAGGTTGCGTTAAAATAAAAAACAATATATACAGGGGAAAGTTTACAGACGAAGAAGGCACTATGCAGTGGCTGAGAGATTATGAGGTAGAAACTCTTACAACTTGGCGATTCAAATGTGGTCTCACAAATCCGCGTCGCCTTGTATATAGGTAAGTGTATTGTTATTGTAAAGGATTATTTATTTGAATCTAATCACGACCGTAGCTTTTTTATCTTTGGAGCTAGACTTTTTTGAATGTTTTCGAGCTAGATTGTTCTTGTTTGGGATAGAACTAATTTTCAGAATACCTACTTCGAAAATTCAAGGCGCACGAAGGGCATAATATTGTTTAAACGAATGCAAAATATATTTTAACCGACTTCCCAAAAGATGGAGGTTTTCAATTCGTCAGCTATGTTTTTTTCTATGTGTGTTTACCGATTTTTTCAAGATGGCTTATCCGATTATGGTAATTATTTTTTTAAATGAAAGGGTATAAATGCCTCTGGGGTAGTCCCATATTAATTTGATGAAAAAATATTGACTTCAAAAGAGGAAATCAGTTGGTGAAATTATTTTTAAGGCAAATCTGGAGTATTTGTGTGTTAATTTAGTTTTTTGGTCGGGGAGGTTGCCTTCATGAGTGACCCGAAATAAGTAGGGATTACAAGGGGTTGCAAAAGGTTACCGATTGGTCGGCCACCAAAGGAAGAAGGCGCACCAAGAAAAAGAAAGAGAAGCACTCAATGTAAAGCAAAATTTACTGAATGCTAAGTCTCATGGAACAGCTCACTAAAACCTATTACATTATTATTTTGTTAATTTTCGAATTTTCTTTTTTATTTTTGAATATTCTTGTTTTTTGAATTTTCTTGTTTAGTTTTGAACCGACCAATAAACATTCACATTTAATATGTTTATTTTCTACTACCTTTTCACGAAAAGTGATAATTTCTTCCCTGAAATGATAAATGCTGTACTTGAATGAGAAAATACACTCTGTGTATAGATATTAGAATTTAGCTTCTTACATTACATGGGAGGAAAATACCACTTTTCCACCCGCGGATTATTTATACAAAAATCCAAAAAAAAGTATATGATTTTTTAGATTTTTACATTTCCTTGCATTCTTTTTAAATTCAGTTATTTTCTATAATATGTAATTTTAAATTTTTCATGGGACTTTTCTTATTGCTAAACCAAATTATTAATTTTAAAATCATTAAATATCGTAATAGGAAACAAGGTGCGTTGATTATTATCTTACGTATTTTTAGCGGAAGGTAAGTAAATTTAAATTTAAATTGATAACATTCTGACAACATGCTCAGCACTGTTTAACATTCCGGTAGTGATTTCGGCACCCGGCTTGTTATTGGTTGAATAAATTGAAATTGACCAATAAAATTAAGGCTGGTGCCGAATCCTATACCACAGTGTTAATATGCTGCCCGGACGCAGAAACGATGTGTAGCGCGCCAGGCAACTACATCTTGCGGAGCTGCTGAGATTTAACAATTTTGACAACCAACCCATGTGACAACCAGC